AAATGAGAAATATGAAATGTGAAGTATGAAACACGGCCAACGTGCCAAGAGAAATAATACAATTGTGACTACTAGTGCCAATAAAAATGAAGAGGTCTGAAAGAAGTGTGCAATAGGATGATTGATAGAAAAGGATGATATCTCGAATGCGATGGCCTAGCCGATCGGGTCGTAATCGGATGCCATACCGCACACATGATGGTGATTGTGTTGAAACTGGTACTCGAAATTGTGATTGTGGTTAATGTCTCAGATGAGACGGACTATCTAATCGAGTCATGATCAGATGCCATGCCACATACATATTGGTGATTGTGCTAGAAATTGTAATTTAAATCGGAATTGTGATTGTGATTGTGGTTGCTGTCTGAATGAGACGACCCAGCTGATCGGGTCGTGATCGGTCTCCATACTAAAAGTACGGTGGTATTGTGAATGTTGACATATCGGTGCTAAGATCCCCCAACTTAAAACATGAAGGTTTACTTGAAAGAGTTATCTTGCTCCTAACTTGATGTTTGATATCGCTTGAGGTTTTGAATTGAAGTTATGATTGTTCCTTCTTGCATTATTACTCATTCTATTGAGAGGGTGTTTAGTTATACATACTAGTACTATTCCAAATGCACTAACGTCCATTTTGTAGGGGGATCTGCATCTTTAATGGATGTGTCATGCCCCAAACCTAGGGTAGCGTGGCTGGCACCCGGTGCCGAACTGGCCCGAGCGAACCACTCTATAACTCATATTTTCCTTCTGCAACTATCATGGGCCAACTTGGCCACAACTCATAATGTATAACTATAAGTGGGAAAACGTTGTATTAATGAATCATTTTTCTTAAAACATGAATACATATGGGCCGTCAAGGCTTCTGACATACTATACAAAATGAACCTCTGTCTACAAAGCCTCTAAGATTATTTGACATCAAATGGGGCATGTTACCGGCCTACCCATAAGTCTGTAGCAAAACTCTGACACGATGACTCATAGACTAGGCTGCACTCCGAATGAGGTGGAGTCTTACCGATCCTTCGCTGAATGCCAATATCATCTACTATGAGGTCTCGTCAAACTGATTATCTATACCTGCAGGCATGAATGCAGCATCCTCAACAAAAGAACGTCAGTACGAATAATGTATCGAGTATGTTAGACAATTTACTGAAAGCTAAAACTAAACTGATAATATAGCAACTGCAGGTAGCTGGAAGTCAAAGAAAATATGATGGTATGATTACTTGCTGATACTGACTCNATATATATAGCTATATAACTGTTCTGCCATGGTAGACTCGCTCATAGGAACTCGGCCATACTAGCTCTGTATCTCGACTAATTGGGCTCGCTCATAAGCGCTCGGCCACAATAGGCTCGGTATATATATAACTGCTCTGTTATAGTAGGCTCGCTCATAGGCGCTCGGCCATACTAGGCTCTGTATCTCGACCAACTGGGGTCGCTCATAAGCGCTCCCACAGTAGGCTCGGTATATATATAACTGTTATGCCGTATTAGGCTCGCTCATAGGCGCTCGTCTATACTAGGCTCTGTGTCTCGACCAACTGGGCTCGCTCATAAGCGCTCGACCACAGTAGGCTCGGTATATATATAACTGCTCTGCCGTAGTAGGATCGCTCATAGGCGCTCAACCATACTAGGCTCTGTGTCTCGACCAACTGGGCTCGCTCATAAGCGCTCGACCACAGTAGGCTCGGTATATATATAACTGCTCTGCCGTAGTAGGATCGCTCATAGGCGCTCAACCATACTAGGCTCTGTGTCTCGACCAACTGGGCTCGCTCATAAGCGCTCGACCATAGTAGGCTCGGTATATATAACTTACCATCGGATCAGAGGTTGCCCAATAGGGGCCTGCCCATAGATTATAGCTCCATGGTAATGAAAATACTTTTAATACTGTATATATGTAAATTCTCTGCTCTCTTGACTGGAAGAAGAAAATACTTAATTGAATATGAAGTCCCGGTAAGGAGAGTATTGTAACTTACAAAACTAGGAACATATATGCAATTTGCGAGACTAGCAAAATATATGTAAATTCCGGGATATGAATTTTTCTTTATGCCTCGTTATCAAACTTGTGTAATGACGAGATCATGCCAAAATGAAAGAAGAGTTTAGCCTTAACATACCTGAGTCGATTCACTTAATAAGCTATGCTTACTAATAAGATGTATCCACATTAAAATCTCAACTTTTGGTTGGATCTAATAAGATGTATCCACATTAAAATCTCAACTTTTGGTGAATCCAATCAGATGGCCATTCTTCATAAAATAAAATGATATACTAGTTCCGTATTTCATCTTAGTGCCATAAGGAAGTGACCGATGCATGCCTCCTCAAGATTTTACTTTTGGCTTCCTTCAATCGGTCTTTATGAAGGTGCAGTTCATCATAGCTCTTGAGAACATCCATATACACATTCCTTTCCCGCTTTCGATTGACCTCATCCAAGGAAATTGAAGAAGCTCAAACAGATTCCTCAGAATCCATAAAACCTAGTCCAGCTTTTCCATTCTCCACTTTTGAGCCAAAATGATCACCACCACTGAAAAAAGTACTCAAGCCTAGTGAATTTTTAGGGAAATTTCGATCAAGAGATGATTCTTCAGTGGAATAGATGAGAGGGGAATCAAGGGTTGTAGTATCTCCACCCAAAGCTGCTCACTCAACTGAAAAGTGAAAACTTATGTTATTTTTCTTTTAACACACTGTCTTAGTGTTCTTATACTATTTAATGCATATGAGTCACTAGTGTATGTATATGAGTCACTTAAAAGGCATTTGCTTGTGGCTGCCACGTGGGGTAGGGAAATTTTAACCCTATTTAATTTATTAGTTAATTAGGTAATATCTCGTTATTCGATAATTAACCAATTACCCACATAATTAAAAATTATCTCAAATTACTTAAAATACTACTCACTTTTTAATGCACTTCATATATCATACTTTTATGGTCATGTGGTACCATACAAAATAAATATATACACTATTATTTCGTTAAAATACTCATGTAAAAATACATATATTTTCTCAACTTTTAATTTTCCTAAGCTCATATAAAGAATAAATAATTTTATATACTTAATTCTTAAAATAATAAAAATATAACCTTCTTTACTTAAAATTTCGTAGCTTTTCGATAGGCATGGAGATTGTCATAAGTGCTAGAAGATATGAACAATGGAACTTACAATCGGCAAACCAGTTGAAAAGCACTTGTTAGGTGGTATAACAAAGAATGAAAGCAGTAAATATTTATTATTGGCTTTTGTACAAATGGTATACAAATGAAATAATGTTTAAACATTTTCTGAATAAAAATTACAAAAAAATTATAGCAGCTAATTTTATTTCCACGTAAAGAAAAATGACGTCTAATATTTTGGCTTTCCCTATCGGCTATCGCATGACATATAAAAATATAACCTTCTTTTCTTGTAAGAAAATAGTTTCTTTCTTTACAATAAGCAAAATCTCATAACCTTTCTCAATTTACCATATTCGAAAATAATAATAATGGTAACTATCCAAAATTATACTTATAAAATTTTTACTAAAATACTTTTACTTAAAAGAAAATACCAAACTAACATAATATCTAACAGTTTTAAGGTTGTTGCACTTTTGAGGTCTTATTCCCTTCAACCTTGTATGGATTACTATGACTTATCCTAATATATAAATATGAGGTGTAACAGGATGCAGGTGGTTCCATAGCAGGCGGCGTTGATCAGGGATAGTGGTACACCCTCTGGCCTCTTCCCAGCAGACTTGATGAGCCCCACTTCATTCCGGGGTCATGTATCTTTTGTTTATTATATTATCACGTTTGAGGTATAGCTGGAGCCTTGTTGCCGGCAATATCATAATACTCTTTGTATCTTTTTAGAGGCTCCGTTGACATAGTGTTGGTTGTATATGAATGTTGGGAAAGTCAAACAAGTTATGTTGTATTTTGATCACTTGTTCCACTTCAAATCATGAAAATGCGTATATTTCGAGACTTATTAAATGGAGTAACTCATGGTAATGAATTGGTATTGTATATGTGATCTCCCTATTGTTTAATTAACGAAAAATGTATTCTCTTTAATCATGCGTGATTTTGGGTAGAATATATCTAAGAGGCTTGCTTGACTGAGTTCACTCGGTTGAGCGTCGGTCGCGCTCCTCGAGTTCGGGGCGTGACATTAACAGTATCGTCTGTGATGCACAAAATCACCTTATTGCGATTTAACCAGTGTTTCCTTTGAGTTATTTTTATTTTGTTGGCAAGGAACAAACATAAGATTCCTTTTTTTTTTTCTATTCTTTTTTGCTAATTTGTTGAGGAGTGGGTGGGTAAGAGTTTGCTGATATTTTTGCTTCTTGAAAATGACAATTTATGTGGTACCTCCAGTCCAACAACTTGATCAGAAAATAAATGATAAAGGTCCCATGTATTTTGGCAGAAGTTAATTGACTCACTCCCAGGCACGTTTAAAAGGCCAAAAAGAAAAGCAGCAAAGTGACAATATCTGGCCAAAATCTGTGGCTTAGACATTCCAACTATTCCTATAAGAGAAATGAGTGACAATTTTTGTTTTACATTAACACCAGGACAGCCAAGACAGACTTGCCATCTTTCAACACAGAAGCTACTAAAAAAGACAGCCCGGTTCATTAAGCTCTTGCAAAGTCCGAGGAAGGTACGGACCACAAAAACCTACTTTTTCTATAAAAAATAAAGGCAACCGTTGATCACAAGTAACTAATCTTAAGGTATTTTAGTTACCAATTTGTAACAATACACTAATTTTATATGCCATTACGCTTTTTCCCCCTTAAATCAAAACTATCTTCAAAATTAGAAAATAATTCACAATACTGAAGGAATTTGTCACCATAACATTTTTTTGTTTTGTTTTGAGAATGGTAACATAAAACATGACAATAAAATTGCAATCACATATCTGCAACACATGTAAGAATTCATATCTGGTTGGTTTTTGTATGATTGAAGCATTATAATTAAAAGACAACCAGAAGATTGTGTCCTACTTGTTTCAAGCTGTCCCATGACTGCTGTCCAAACAAAAGAGCCACTATCTTCAGGAAACACTTGGGAAAGAACCACATAAATGGAATTTCTCGCATGCATAAAAGCTATACAAAAGGAAAACAAAAACAACAGGTTTATGAGGGTGAAAAATTCTTGGAAAACTAGCTATCAGGTATGGCTGCAGATTTACAAACAGGACAACTATTTTTGTGCATAAGCCACTGTTTTATGCAAGGAATATGATAGAAGTGTCCACAACCCAGCTTCCCCATCTCATCTTCAGCCTCGTATTCTTCCTGTATTTCGAAAAGCAGAAAAGTATAGTTTTAATTATTAGAGCAATTAACTTTTTCTTTAAAATAAAGTTTCGAGACAAAGCACAAACGCAAATGTCCAGAAAGTTTTTACTAAGCACAAACCTGACAGATGCTACATTTTTTTTCCATTTCTGTGCGCAGATGAGATAAATTGTTCAAAAACAAGGGCTTAGTTCTTCTGACACATCGAGTTATCTCATCTTCTCTCAATCCTGTGCTCACATATCCAATTCTATCACCGAGTTCCAGCAATTCCTGTTAGCAAAGGGTACTTGTCGTTAGTAAAAAGATGGGAGTTACGAGGACAGACAGATCTGCGCAAATGAATGACTTGCCTCATATGACATGTTATCCACATCAAGTCTCCAGCTCCGGTATCGATCAAGACCATTTGTTCTTCCTCCCATAAGACTATTCTGAAGCATCACAATCTGCAAATAGACTACAGTTAGTCACACCACCAATTCATACATTATGTTGGAATATAAGGTGGGCTATCATAAATACATAAGGCACAAAGACATTAAGCTCACCTAATAATATATTGAAACTCCACTCTATCATAACAAAATAACAAAGAGGGGTTTTACAGGTGCTAAAAGATAATTCTAGAGTCAATCCTACTAAATGCTTTCACACCCTAACTATGAACTTGGCCACCTAGATGACATAAAGGCTATGCACCTAATCACATAGATATTCCAAAAGTCGCATGAATTATATCAAAATGCATGCATGCACTTAGTAAGTCTAGAATATTCAAAATTATGTTTCTAACACAATAAACACTTGAAGATTCATTACCACTTCAAATGTTAACTTATCAAAAAAATAAAGAGATCTGTTTCGGCTGTGCTATGGCACCGCGCAGAATTTAATAGATAGTAGTGACAGAAAGCTCGTCTAATGGTACTAAATTGAAAGGTTTATACATGATTATATGGTAAATAACTGATAGAACCCACAAATTACATGATGCAATTCCCATAGGATGGGTACTTGCTATCCGCTGTCAATAACGAACAAGCTTAAGGCATTGTTAACCTAGATTGCCACTATTGCTTCAGCAGCATTACTCATCAGCGACTTATTTGCAAGAACATTGACACTTTCAGGTTAGGTTACTTCAAATTTATACATGTTCTCCAGCATCTCTATCTAGTCTATTCATGTTTTTCTTAGAAAAGAACATTACACTGGCATTGTAAATTAACAAGACAATATTTTGCTCCATCTTATAGTATCTCAAAATCATATTTTTGTGATTGGCAGCCATCAAACCAGCAAGCATATACCTTAGATTAACTTTGTTACTTCACTTCAGAAGTCAGGTTCAACAGAATCAATCACTCTGATTACCAATGTAATGTGTTTCCAACAGACATTATTGCCTTTACGTTGTAGAGGGGAAGGAGTAGAAGACATTCATGTCAACACACTTGAAAACATCACTAACAAATTTTACCACTGCAAAAACCTTTATTTTTATTTCTCTTTGGAACTAAACGAGGGCTAGCATAAAAACCTTAAGAAAGAATTTGGCTGCCATAGTTTGCAGTTTTGAGGTTGCTATGGAAGCATAACGGATTCACTGAAAAATCTCATGTTGTTATCAGCTTTTCAAGACATTTTAAAAGTTCAACATCACCAGGAACATCAATTAAAAGCCAATGCCACTAAATTTTTCAATAGCTAAGCAAACAATATCCCATGATTAGTCATTCTGCATTAATTGGTAAACTATGAAGAAAAGGGTTGCAACAAGCTACTTTCAAGATGATCAAGCAAATTAAGGCTATTAAAAGAAAAGGAATCCGGTTAAGTGATGATGCTTCACGGAAGTGCAAAAGCTAATTGATTCTACTACAGCTAAATCTCATAAGTAGAGGACTGAACTTCGACAGCATTCGCCAAGCATGTTCAAGAGTATCAACTCAGTCTTGTGATGCAATGAGCTTGACCATTTCCTTGGAGGCTAAGCATGGCCCCTCATGATTCTAATTAGATTATGCATGGCACCGAAAACTAAGGGTCATTCTCAACACAATGGCAGTTCCCCCAAGCACCAAAAAAAAAAAAAAAAAAGAATCCAAAAAAAAACCCAGTCACCGAACTGAACACGTAAAGCCTCTATACTGAACTGCTTCAGTCGGTTGTTTTCTAGCAATGATCTAGACAAAACTGTGCACAAATGGCTAAAAACATTTGATAATAATGAAAATGATAATTATAAAATATAAAAAAGCACTCACAAGACCACCAGATTGGATAATATTGGTCATTGGCTATATATTCAAGTACAGGAGAAAACATAATTTCACTAAGGTATCAAGATAGGAGTAATGAATCTTCTTGAGAAAAAGCAAAGCAGCAGCAGATAGATAGCTAGTTATCAGTAAATTAGGAAGTAAAGCATGTATGGACAAACCTCTGCAAGCCCTTCAGGAAAACCATAGTGGGAATGACGATGATGCCTAAATCCAAACCAATTTGCTCGGGAGCTTTGCATTTCCAGAGTTTCAGTATCAAGGAAAGGATCATCTTCTGGGCTCAACATTCTTCGCACAGAAGATGAAAATCGCTGTGGAAAAAGGAAATGAAATTATAGAATATTCTTCAATTTATTTACACGTAAACCGTGTACTCAACATTCACCATCTATACATTTAAATGCAGATAAATATAAAAGTTACTCTAAAATTCACAATGATGAGAAAACAAATAAAGGACAGTTTCAACAGTTCCAAACCCACAAGGCAGAAAATGCCAAGAGTAGAATAGACAAACACAATACGATGAGAGATTTGAACAGCAAATATCATAAGTTTGATGGATCTTGTAGCTTAGATGATTCAACAACTTGAATTATTTGCTGAAAGATGATTTCTACGTGACATAACCAACATGGATAGTGACTATAGACATTGTAAATGGCTAGGTGGGGAAAAGAAGCTCTTCCTTAGACAAACAAGCATTATAAGAAACCATCTTCTTGCACGAATATCCTGTTTAGACCTAATTTTACTGTATTGATTAGCCAACACACAACACCAAAGAGTGGCTTGATCCCTGACATTCAACTTGGCTTAAGACACCTGACTTAACAGTTCAAGGGCAAATCCAAAACCAAACAATCAGTTACTTCATTAGTTGTGCAGTATGAAACCAAGACCAGTGAGTAGAATAACATACACAGGAAGCAAATGATATCGCCATGGATGTGAGAAAACAATGACAACAACAACATCAACTGTGCCTCAAACCAAACCAGTTGGGGTCACTATATGAATTCTCAATAACTATTTCGCTCCATTTGGACCCGTTATATTCCATGGATGATAGGAAACGATTTGCTAGTCCCTTCAATTCCATTTTACGGTCAAATCAGCATTTTTCAGCGTCTTGTCAATTCCAGCATTGATAATTTAAGCTTTTTAAATAAAATTCATATTATTTGCAAACGGCATACCTAAAAAGTATTATAAGTCGCACCAGTTATAGTTCACAATATTTAAGTAATATTAAAAGAATCATAGTTAAAAGAAACTGTCAGTAGTAACAGTGGCATAAAAACATGAGAAGCAATTCACAAAAACAACATTTTCCATAAATATTACTTAAAAAACAAAAGTGCCAAAGGTATTATTTTCCATAAATAATTAATACCTCCCTGGGAGTACTCTTCTCAATATCACCTCTGCCTCTAGCAGAAAGGGGGCGCCTTGTTGAAACGAGAAAATCAACAGAAGCAGCATCAGTAGTTAATCCAATTCCAGGACCACACCAAACATCAGTAGGAGCAGTCAAATATGACGAGGAGAGGTTATTATCAACAATGGAAGAATCTCTACCAACAAAATTAAGGGTCTTATTTTTCTTCTTCTTTTTGACTTTGTTAGAGGATTCCCAGTCAGCTGAAGTCCTAATAATAGCAGAAGGCAGCGAAACGTGTTGTGATGTAGCTGCCTTGCAACTCAATCCCTTAAATGATGTAAACTTCTTCATCTTCTTCTTTTTACTGAAGATTTGTGCTGTTGGACTGGTGGGTGAAAAGGGTGTGTGAAGGAGAGAAGAAATGGTGGATTTTGAGGAGCGAGTTGATGGATTAATAGAATACATAGGGTCAGTTTCTGAGATGGGTTTTTGTTTCTTTTGGTTTTTGGGATTTGTGTTTCTTGTTTGGTTTGCTATAGACATGGCGGTTAGAAAGAACTGTGCAGAAAAATGGCAGAACAAGAACAGGGATACAGTGATGAAAGAATATGATTTTGTATATTTATTGTAAAGAAATAGTGATTGATTGTAGAGAGAGAATTGAGAAAAAAGAATACTAAGATGAAACAGAGCTGAAAGGATTGAAATGTGGAGACCTGAGACCAAGAGAAAGAGCGTGTCAGATAGGAGTAGCAGATTCTGCCAGAGAACGCCAAAATAAAATTAAAAAAAATACCCTACTTGTTCCAAATTTTTGCGTTCTTTTCATTTTGCATATGTATTTTATATTAAGTTTTTAATATCTAGAAAAATATAGTTTAGGAAACCTCTGGTAAAAAAGAGAGTTTAAGTAGGTAACCAACACAAAAAAAAAAAATTAGGAAGATTTTATGCTGGGTTAAATAGTCATTTTTTTAATTAATTAGGAGCGTATATCAGACGCGCCTATAAGAATATAATCGAGTTTTTTTTTTAATATAGAGAGGAATTTAATTTAGGAGGTTTTGGGGATATTAGATAGTTTAAATAAATAATCAGCAAAAAAAGGGGTTTAGGATATTTACTCTTGTATTTTTACACATAAAAATTTCAAAAATAATAAACTAGTAATCTTTAAAGAGTTATTTTTTCTATTTAAATTATAAAAGGATATAAAAAGTCATTTACACTTTTTCTTTTTTTCTTCTTTTATTGAAAGTGGCATGGGGCTGAGCTCTTAGAAGATGAAGGTAGTAGAAATGAGGATGTTGATATGGATGTCCGGACACACAAGATTAGATAAGATTAGGAATCAAGTTATTTGGGACAAGGTGGGTGTGACTCCTATTGAGAACAAGATGCGGGAAGCGAGGCTTATATGGTTAGGGAATGTGGGGAGGAGGAGCAAAGACGCCCCGGTCAGGAGGAGTGAGAGGTTTTACTAGAAAGCCTGGGGAAAGGTAGAGGTAGGCGAAGAAGAGTGGGAATAAGTGATCAGGCAAGACATGACATAGCTTCAGCTGACCGAGGACATGACCCTTGATAGGAAGGTGTGGAGGTCGATGATTAGGGAAGTATGTTAGTTAGTTTAGTGCTCTCCATGTTCATACCAGTAGTATTACTACGTATTTTCGTATTCTGTCAGTATTAGATTTCTATGAATATCTGTCATTTCTTTCAGTTCGGTCATCTTACTATTTAATTGTTATTTATGCTGTTTTACATGGCCTCTCGTTGTTTGCGCTTGTTTTTCTTTTCATTAATATGGTATTTATGCTTCTCTACGCCGAGGGTCTATTGGCAACAACCCCTTTATCCTTATAAGATAGGAGTTAGGTTGCGTACGTATTATCCTTAAATTTTATTATATGGATTATACTGGATTTTTTGTTGTTGTTGTTGTTGTTGTTGTTAAAAGTAGCATAGTAGTATTAGGGGTTGTTTGATATGAGGTATAAGAAGGTATAAAGGTGGTATAAAAATTTAATACCATCTTAATACTCTGTTTGGTTTGCAAACCAGGTATAAGTTATCCCGGTGTTAATTTTAACACCGGGATAACTTATACCTTATAGAGGGTGGGGTAATTAGCACCGGTATAACTTATACCTTCTTCTTAAAAATTATGCAATTGTCATTTTTAATACAACATACCAAACAGTGAATAAACAACAAGCCCGGCATAACTAAGCTCAGCATAACTTACATCGGCATAAGCCGTATTCCAACCAAACGACCCCTTATAGTGTTGGGGGGTTGGTGCGGTTTGGTGGATACTTGGTTTGTCTTCTGGTGGGCTGTTTGGACGATTAATTAGCTGAAGTTTGACATGAAAAGTTTCGGTGTCAACTTTGGAATTTGCAAATTTCCCTTTTGCTTTACTTTATCGCTTTCTAAAGTGAGAAGAGAAACTAATTATTATCAGGAGAAAGCATCAAATTCGCTTTCTATTTCAAATGGAAAATTATATCTTTCGCTGGAAATTTGTCTAATATTTACTCTTTTCGTTTAAAAATTTATATTTGCATTTAAACTCTAACAAAGTTTTAATCTGAAAATAATTTTAAATCATAATAAAAAATTAAGGGATAAATTAGAACCTTCTTTTTCAAAGAATTTTTCACTAATAACAAAGACAAATACAAAATAATTTAGAACTGCAAGAATATAAAAATAAATAAAAGAGCAACAAAACAGAATTAGGATGTCGCTCCCTATTATCAATACTCAATAGTATGAGTTTCACTTCTTTTTTTCTTATCATGTTTTCTTTAGAATTCTATGTATTAGCTTATACAATTTTTTATACCATCAAGTTATAATGACTTACTATAACAAGTAATTATTTCTATAATCTAATTTTGCTAATCCAAATTACAGTAAATAAACTATTATAACTAGTTAAATACATTAATAGTATAATTTTTTTATATTATCAGAGTATATAAATTAATTTTTTTTTATAAATACAATAAATTGTGCCCCCAAAAAAGGGAACAAACACAACCTTATCCTTTTTCCCCCCTTTTTGTTCTATTTTCATTCATAATTATCTTGTTCTTCTTTTCCTTTTTTATTAGTGAACTTGTCTCAGTGTGAATTGGACATTTAACAAATGGTTAAAGGACATTTATATTGCGTAAAATGGAGAATAGCACCGAATCAAGGCTTTGCTTGAAGGCATAGAGATTATATTGCTACTTCATAAGATCTAATTCTGCTCATTTCTAGGTTATTTTTGGTTGATTTATTATCAAGATTTATATTTAAAAATATTATCAAAACACTATCATCATATTCTGTATTTTTTACTATTATTGTCTGCGAGTGTGTCACACACATATATACTCAATCAAATTACTATAAATGATTTAAAAGGTAAAAATACTACTCTTAGAAGTAGTTTGGTAGAATATATCTGGAATTATATATATATATATATATATATATATATTATAAAAGCATGAATATAATGTCAGTTTGCAAAAACAACCTTATAATATTAAGCATAATAATCCATAATAAAAAAATATAACCAGAATTCTAGATATTAGCCTTATAATCCTATTAATTAGCTTTATAATTTGTTTAGGTTTCTTTTGATAGTTCGTGTATATTTAGTTAGAGTTTGTTTTAGGTTTATTTAAACAAAGATTACGTCATAATGAAATCCAATTTAGAATATAACACTAAAACAGAAAACATATCAACACATATATACGATATTATTTAGGATCTTAAAAGTTAACCAAAAATTATGTTTTCAAGCCAAACACTATTGTGATATCCATTTACTGAATTGGCCTACCATTCTTTTATTTTGAGTGGGTTATCTCAATATGATTCCTTATCAAAAAGTGCCAACTTTCATATAAATCACAAGAGAAATAACCATAGGCTAAATACAAGATATCCAAGTATAAGAATTTACAAGCATCAATTAATATAGTCTTTTGACATATACTCATCCGAAATCCAGAGAAGTTTTACTTCTTATGTATAGTATATATGTGTTTGCTTTTCTAAAGCTTGTTTCTTTTTCTATTTTTGATAGTTGCTTCTTACATTGTTCTCACCACTGGCTTGAGAAATATTACTTTGAGTTTTTGTTTCCAGATGGCTCATTAATGCAATAGTCCATCTTTTTATGGCCATATGCATCTTAGTGTAGGATAGTTCTTATATTTATTTATCTGCGTTTTAACCCAAATAACTTTAGGATACAGATTAAATAAATCAGAAATAAAGGATCACTTATGTTAATCGAATCTGCGCCATGATTCTATATTTTATTATAGAAGCGCGAATTTCAAACAAATATTGATTCATGAAAATATTCTCGAAATATTAATGAATTTTTATATCCTTAAAAAATAAAATTATTATTATGGATAGTAAATATTAGATAAAGTTGTAAAATTAAGAACTTTGACTTCAATTAGAATTTCATCTACAATTTCGTAATGAAATGTGATTAAAGAATCCATATTTATGTATTAACTTTTTGCTAATTGGGTCACAACTTAAAAAGAATAGCTTTGATAATTTAAAAAAAGTTCCTCACCGCTTGTGAACGAAAAAAAAGAATCCGGAGAGTGAATTTGAGTCGGCAACTCACTTCAAGAGGATTTAAAAGGTTACGATTCCTAATTATCTGTTGTTCTTTTTTCTTTCGGTTATTTATAATTTTATTGGTGAATCAGTATTCTGTTTGTCATTAGTTTTTTAAGTTTCTAATTATATTGCATTTTAATAAGTAATTAAGTATATAACTGCATTCACCCATTTTATATGTTCATACTTGTTTAAAATTTCTAGCGATTTGTTTTCGTATCATTTATACTTTCACCTCCTTTTGATGAAATCTCTTTTAGGTTACCATGTGAAGCTCATTATTGTATTATGATTGTTTACATTAACCTTAGATGTGCGAAGGAAAATAAATGTATGAGAAGGATCAGTAGTTTCATTTAAAAAATAATGTATTAAAACCAATCTGCTAAGAGTGAAATCTTTATATCATATGTGAGAAAAAGGAAAAATAGAAGTCAAAAAGAATGGTGATAAATAAATTATAACAATCTGAATAATAACATGTGCCGATAAACTCCAATACTAACATTGTTGACATATTCCAATTAAAGATCATAAGTTTCTCCTCCATTTTGTAGTTCTTAAATAACCAACAACAAGAAGCAAGTTAATATGGTTCAATCTCATATGTTCACAGTAGTCTTCCTTGCCTAATTCGTCCATAATTAACTAAAGAATAATAGTGATAATAAAGTATTTATTCATGGTATAAACAGCTAAGAGAATGGCGTACGATTTTAATATTTTCATAATCAATAACACTTTTCAAGTAACAAGTATCCATATTCTTATGTCAACACTATAAGCAATTTGGTGT